CAAGTGTAATTAAATTAATCAGAGTGTATTGTCCTTGGTTTTCCCATGTCACCACTGACAGCTGAGACTTTGGTCATAGAGCTGAACCGGTCTGTGGGCTTACACCGGGCCCCACAGCACTCGGAGTCCTCAGAGATCATTTTTAACAGTAATAATGCAACCCAGACAGGAGCAAAAAGAGTCGACCTGTGTCTGGAGCCTGCTGAAGTTGGGGGACAGGGAAGCGACATGATCTAGTCTGTGATTTAGAAAGAGCCCTTCGGCCATGGGGAGGTTGAACTAACATTCACAAATTAGAAATCTGTGCTGGCAAACGCTTTTAAATAGAGCAAATGTTTGGCGTAGGCAGACACACTCAAATTGACTGATTTCTGAAAGAGCATCCCCGTTCAGAAGCTACAGCCAAGGTCCCACCTCCTCGGGGGTTTTCCCTGGAGCTTGAGAGGATCCTGTCACTTGCCCACCTCCGAGTCTGAAGACACAGGCTGGCGGCAGTCGTGTTCATGACGTCACCTTTGACGGTTGATTCCTTTTTTGGAGAAAACCACTGGCTTTTGGAATAATTTTCACCCTCTCTCCGCAAGAGCCCTGCGATTCATGTAAGTTCTGTTTATAAAGCCCCTTTGTGGGCACAGGTCAAATTTAACAAGTGTGGAATGGGTGGGCAAGGCTTACTGGCCCAAAATGGCAGATGAGGAAAAAGGCTCAGACTCCCTCAGGAGCCTGCCCAGGGCCACACAGCTCCTAAGAGATGGAGCAGGAATTGGACCAGAGTCTCTGCCGCCAAGTTCATCTCCCTATTACTATACACTCGCTACACATGCCGCTGAGAGGCTGTCCCTGATCTTGGCTCTGTTGTCTCTTATGTGTCCTAGCTGGGTGCTTAGTCTCCTAGGGTTGCCATAACAATACCAAAAGCTGGGTGGATGAAGACAACAGAAATGTATGGCCTTGTAGTTCTGGAGATGGGAAGCCTGAAGCCCATGTGTCAGCAGGGCTGTGCTCTATCAGAAAGCTCCAGGGGAGGGTCCCTGTCTCTTCCTGGTTGCTGGTGCTTGCCCACAATCCTTGGCATTCTTGGCTTGTAGCTGCACCACTCCAGCCTCTGCCCCTGTCTTCGCATGACCTTCTCCCTGTGTGTCTATTTGTCTGTGTCCAAATCCTCTTTTTCTCTTATGAAGATATTAGTCATTGGGTTTACTCACCCTGACTCATGTGACCAGATTTTAACTTAATTGCATCAGCAAAGATGCCATTTCCAAATGAAGTCACAGGTACTAGCGGTTAGGACTTGAGCATATCTTTTTGGGGGACACAGGTCCCCTATGACACTGAGACACTGCCAGGGGGCCCGTAGTGGACCACGCTCTTACCCAGAAGGTTCTGTGCCTGGTCAGTGTTCTTCCCTCCCTGGGTTTTCCTCAGTCCCCTGCTCAGGCCCATGAGGTGCTTCCAGTAGGGGCTGTGCTCATGAGTCCCTCTGCCAGGAGGGGCATGAAGTCAGCTGCTGCTAGCCTGGGGACGGGTTGTGCCGCTTTCGCATCTGTTTGAGCTGCTGCCAGTGCGTGGCCTCAGTGAGTGGGTGGCAGTGCAAGCACAGTGTGTGTTCTGGGGAGCAGGGCCACCTCTGGCTGGAGGTGTCGACTTCCTCAGGGCTCCTGGCAGCACCTGGGGCATTACTGGTCAGGATATCATTTTGACCTCAGGGTGGCCGAGGAAGCTATGTTTAGGGAAGTGGCATGGAGCTTAGACATTCGAGCTGGCCTGGTTCTTTTTCCCCCACCAGATGACAAGCGTCTCTAGGGCAGGGATGCCTGGCCATCTCTATGTCCCCTCCAGCAGTTTCAGGCTCATGGGAGCTGCCATGTTTCTGCAGCTTTAGTCCCACATTGCTGTGGGCTTCCATGAGACGATGCATAATAAAACCGTGCACGACTTGAAAGGCCTCCAAGTCCCCGCAGCTTTCCTTATTATCTGGGAGATGCCTCAGGACGAAGTGGCAGGACCTGATTGAAGAATACGGTTGAAGACAGCACCTCGATATGTCTGGTGGTGCGGGGATAGGTGGCCATGTAGCCCCAGTGAGAGCCACTTATAGGAAAAGGTGGTAGATTTGGGCAAGGAGGTGGCCCCTCCGAAAACTTGTTGCAGTTTCAAGTGAATTTCTGAAGACACGTCAAGTTTTAGGCGTGCTGAGTCTGCAGTGACCATGGCCAATGGGATGGGAAAATTTTCGCGCTAGAGACCAGTGAGAGGGAACATGGAATCTCCAGAGAGTTTCATGAGCGTCCCTGCCAAGGACTAGTGGAAACCCAAGCGGGTGAGGACAGAGATAGTGGGAGAGGTGGGAGGCCACCTGGGATCTTGGAAAAGAGGAAGCTTCCTTTTGGCAGCATGGGAAGCAGCCTGGGAAAGTCAGGGTTGCAGGATGGGAATCCAGGGTTTTAGCAGACAGGAACCTGGAGCAACCTGGCTGGGCAGTGCTGTCAGCAGACCTAAGAATATTGACTGCTTGGCCTGTAAAGGAAAAGTCTGTTGCAAAGTGGAATTGAAAGTGGCCAGGAGCCAACGGGGAAGGGGCCGCCCTCACTCCTTATGGCTCTGAGGGGTTGGGTCTGTCCTCAAGTCCTGTGTGTGGCCCTGAATCCTAAAGCTACCTGGCTGCTCCCTGAGAGCAGGAGCTGCTTTCTGAAAGACCATGGATCCTCCCCCACCCCCGCCACCCCCGGCAAGCAGCCAGCGGAGTGCCAGGGGCATAGCACGTGCTCAGTTAACGAGAACCGACAAGACCTGTTGCCAGAGGCAGCTTTTGCTCCGCTGCTGGAGTTCTCAACCCAACTGTCTATGAGAATAACCTTTCCAGGAGCATTTGAAAAGTACTCATGCCCGGGCCTCCTCACTCTGTATTAATGTTGCAGTTGGTCTGAGCTGGAGCCTGGCACCAGGCATTTTCAGAGCTGCTCATGGATGCTGCATTCATTATTAAGATTCACCACCAGCTCCGAATTATGGCTGCACTACGTGGGCACGTGCCTGGTCTTTCTGGGCCTGTTCAGTCATTTGCAAATAGCCTTGCAGAAATATACATGGTGGGTCCCACGTGTGCCTGGCACACAGAGGCACCCTGGCTGATGCTGATTCAGAGTCGCAAGACGATTTTGCCCTGTTTTGGTGGGTAGCTGCCCTGTGGAAATGACTGCTCAGGGGAGCTGGCAACTTTCCAGAAGAGAGAAGAGGAGCAACCATTGCCGATTGGATCATCCAAGCTGGGTAGCGTCTGTCTGGCTGTGAGCACTGGTTTAAGGTGAGCGTTAAGGTCCCGTGGGATGTCAAGAGTGTTTGAGGAGAAAGAACATGTCTTCTTGGTCTAGGTCGCCTTTCAATGAAAAAATGCCGTTTTGTCAGAAATTCCCCTCTTGGGGGATCAGGCCGTGCATTTGATGTTAACGAGCTCTTGTTGAACACACGCTATGTGCTGCATCTGTGCAAGGGCTTGGGGACCCCTAAATGAATTTGACAAATTAGACGAAGTCATGCCCTGTTGGAGCCCAGTGGCTTTTGGGTCCCCCTTCCCCAGGCACCTTAAGCCAGGACAGCCACACTAGGAGGAGGAGGCGGGGAGGGAGAGATTCACACATGAGGGTCCGGATTTGAAACGCTGATGAAGAACGGGGTTTGCGGGGCCCTTGTCAACAGTTCTACTCGTCGAAACTTTTTTTTCTTGGTATAAACTGTTGCCAATCGACTGAGAAAGGTGATTTGGAACCAGGACCATGACCTTCTGCAGGTGCTGAACTGTAGGGTCTATAGACTGTTGGGATGTTACATAAAACAAAAAGCCCCTAAGGCCATGCCTGGAAGAGCAGGCTTTCCCACAGGTCAGCCTCCTTCTCTGCATATTGCAGAGCTTCGAGAGATCTTAAAAGAAAGGACTCTTTTAAGCAAGGGTCAGATGGGATAAGGATGACGCACAGCGAAGGTGTAGATGCGGTTGCAGTGAAAGAGAGAGTGAGGACCCAGAGACCTCCTGTCCTCAGCCACAGGCGGCTTCCTCTTGGAGTCCGCGGCACGTGCATATTGGTGCTGGGCACTGCGGGATGGAGTGTTCATCCCAGACACACGTTCCTGCTGGGCACCACCTCTCTCCTGGTGATAGGTTGGAGCTGAGGGCACAGAAATGGCCAAGGCAGGGAGTCAAGCCAGACAGCCAGCATCTCCAGAGAATAGTGACAGATGCTGTCTGCCAGGTAAGTGCGGAAAGTGCAGAACCAGCCTTGAAGCTGGACGAGGGTCATACCAGCTTCCCAGAGAAGCTGGGAGTGTCCCAGAGAGGGGACATCTGAGCTGCATCTAAAGGAAGAGTAGCAGTTAGCCATGTGCAGAAGGGTAGTCTAGGCAGGAAGAACAGACATGTCTAACCCAGGAGGACAGCATGGGCCAGTGGGAGGAGAGCATGGGCCAGTGGGAAGGGCAGGAAGCTAGGACTGGGCAACCTAGAAAGATCTGCCTGCTGGTTTGATGGGGTGAGGGAAGTGTGGGGCCCCATTTTAGCTCAGTAGTCAAAGGCCTGAGTTCCAGCAAAGCACACACGTGTGCATGTTCTTAGAGTGTGTGTGGTGCGTGTGTGTGTGTATGTGTGTGTGCATGCATGGGAGGAAAGGGAGTGGAGAGTTGTCAAATGAGGCAAACCAAAACCCAGGCAGTGGGATGGTCACGTTAACATCTTTTACAAGGGAGTTCCCGGCGCATCCTCCAGGATCACGGTTCACTCAACCTCACATTGCTGCAAAGCGGGAATTTTACCAATGATTTAAAGCCCTTCCAAGAGCTTCCAGGGTCTCTGATCTTCCTGGCATAACTCTCTGGCATCTCCCTCACCCTCAGTGCCCTGTGCCCCAGGCCTCGGGAAGGTGTTTCAGGCCCAGTTTTTTCTTCCTTTGAGCCATGGCACTTGCTGTTGCTTCCACTGGAACACTCTCCCACTTCTGTTCCTCCTTCAGATCTTAACCCACAGTTGCAGTCCCTCTGACCCTGGTCCCTCCCACTGCAGGCTGTGCTCCTGTGTCTCTGGGCTGCTCCACCACACGGTGCCTGCCCATCATAGCATCCACCACCAGGTGGCCTTTTCCTTGGTAGGTTCCTTACAAGCATGCAACATGCTTTGTGCACCTCTCAAATCTTCAACACCTTGCGTGGTACCTGGCCCCAGGTGGGCACTTGGTCGCGTATTTGTTAAATTATTGAATCCTTTAGAAAGCCCAAGCTCAGCAAGGTTAAGAAACGTTTCTGTCAGTGAGTAACAGAGTGGACATTCAAACCGGCCTTCTTGCTGGTCCCACTCCTGTGCACCTCTCACTGCACCTACCCAGTTGCTGCCTTTCCTACCGATCTCAACGATTATGCAGTCAGCTGTGGGAGAAATGGGGCTGAGAGTCCAGTCTTCTAGAAGGTGGAGTGAACCAGGCAGGGTGTCAGTGTTCAGGCTCGGTGGGGAAACTGAGGCAGAACCCCTCAAGAAATAGAGATTGGGCCGTTCCAGCTAAGTAGGGGGAGTGCACAGGCATGATCCTGTACCCACTGGAGACTTCATTTGTGGCAACAAGACTCACTGCAGCCCCACCTCCTAGGGCAAAGCACCTCCTGCCCCGTTTTGCGTGGAATAAAGCTGGGACTTCCATGAAGGGACTGGGCCAGGTGTGATGGGCCAGCCAGGAGCTGCACCACACCCTCTGGAACTCTAGAGGCCATTCCAAGCCTCACTTGTTTTTCTTTTCACAAAAACAGAAGCAGAAAGCCTCTGCTCTGTTTGCCTTACTCTGCAAATAAAAATGGAATCAGGAGAGCAGCAGTTTGAATCCCACTTGCAAGCAGTTTGTAAAAAGTGCCCAGGTGCCCCAAAAGGTGGAAACATTTATTTTCCATTTGCAAAAAATAACACTTTGTTATGTCGATATCATGCGGCAGTAGAGTACTCTGCAGTTTGCAATTTGGGAGTGCAAAGGGCAGGGTCTCCTTGCAGGCCTGGCTCTGGGAAGCCTCCTCACCACAACCCTCCATGTTTTCCATGACACTCTCCAGCTCTCAGGGCGGGCTGCCTTGCCTGCTTAGCGGGCTCTAAAGTCGTACTTTACAGTTCATGCCGTGATTCGGGCTTGTGTTGGAATTTGTTCTTTCAGATAGCTCTGTTTGGCGTATCTTTTTATTTCACAGTAAAACCATTTTTAAAAATTAACGCGTGCACATTGTCAGAAATCAAATTGTATAGGCGAGTGTATCATGAAAGCCCTGACAAATCCTGAATGCTTGCTTTGTGCCAGGCACTGTTCTGGGGATGTTTTTCCTGTAAACTCATTTAATCCTCATCACAACCTTGTCCCCACTTTGTGTGATCCAGGATTAGGATTTGCATCCAGACAGCGCATTGATCGTCTTTGGACCCCAGTCGTGGACTTCCTGATGTGGAAGAGGAAGCCATGCCAGACTACTGGCTCTTTCTCGTCCTCTCAGTTTCATCCGTGCTTATTAAAGTGCTTCTATCTGTTGCTTTTTAATCTCTAGATACATTTTTCTCCAGCACCCTTGCACAGTTCGTCCGTCTCCTTATTTCATAAGGTGAGGTTGTTAATCCATATTGTTTCTTTTGTCTTTTGTCTCAAGCTTCGGTACCACCCACCTACTAGCTTCAGGCTGACATTTCTTCAAGGTTGCTGAAGTTTGCATCCCGTCCTGAACACTCTAGCATATGCGTTGCCCATAGCTTGACTCTGAATGCTGAGAACAGTAGGTGACATTGCTGTAATTATTGCTACATTAGAGGTGTCTAATGCTGGGTTAGCTCATGCGCTGGGATGACCTTTTCTTCTCCAGAGATCAGTGTCAGAACCCCTAGACCACTCAAAGCAGAATGGCCCAGAACAGACTCAAGTGGGTTCTCCCGCCTACACAATGTCAGTTGCTTGGAAGCATGCCATGTTGTAGTTTGCTTCATCTTTGGATCATGACTTCATTGTGCAGGATATTTTTTCTGGGATTTCTGGTTGCCTTTCTTTTTTTCTTCTTGCTTTATATGCCTTTTTCATACTCTCCCTTTTTTCATGCCACCTGTTCCATTGAGCCTTTCCCCATTGTTGTTTTTGTTTTGTTTTGTTTATTTCTGGAGAGCTAACCCCTCTCAGAATGCTCACCCCTCCTTTACCCAGGGTATTGTATCCTCTCCAAGGCTGCTGCCCCCAGGTCATCTTGGGCTCGCCATCATTGCTTTCCTGGGTTGGAGGCTCTGTTTGCTCAAGTCACTTCCTAAGAAAAGGTACATGGAAAGTAAACTGTCTGAAAATGTCTGTATTTTATGCTCACACTGAGGGTCGATTTCCAGGTTCTAAATCATTTGCCTTTAGAATTTTGAAGACTTTAGAGTTTTCCTTTTTTCATTTGCCGATGAGAAGTCTGATTCTTGGTTCTTATCGATTATTTATTTTCTGTTTTTCTCGTCCAGAAGATGTTAAGAATTCTTCTTCATTCATGGGGAATTCTTCTTCATTCATGGGGAATTCTTCTTCATTCATGGGGAATTCTTCTTCATTCATGGGGTTCATGTATTACATGAGGATAGTCTCCAGGGTGGGTCTTCATTTATTCATTGTTCTGGTCATCCAGTGGACCCCTTTCATCTAAAAGCCCACGTCCTTCAGCTCTGGGAGATTCTAATGGAACTGATTGTTTAAAAATCTTCATTTGTTTTCCGTTCTCCACATCTGAGCCTCTTACTTGTCAGCTCTAAAATCTTCCAGAATGGGATTGTATTCTTCTACATTTTTCTCATTTCTTTGCCTTTTTGCTCTTTATTCTAGATTTTGTTGACTTCATTTTCCAGTTTGTCATTTTGATTTTTTTTAACTTTTAAAAAACATGTTGTCACTAACATTTTTAACCTCTGAGAGCTTTTTCTTGTCTCTGATCATTTCTTTTCCTAGAATCTATTTTTGTTTTATAGCTACTAGTACACTGAGTGCTGGAATAGTAATTAGAGCATTTTGTTTGTTTGTTTGCTTTAGTCCATGAATTATTTCTGTCTCCTCTGTGGTCAGTTTTTGATTGTTTTGACCCTGCTCTTCCCGCTGCTCACTTTCTCATGTGCCTTTTCGTTCTGAGTTGAAAAAAGTCTAGCAGCTCTTGTGAGATTTGGCCAATGAGTAAACAGGCTGAGAAAGACTGGGTAACTGACCAGGGTCACCCAGGTAGAAATGTGTAGCTGGTAACCAAACCCCAGTCTTCTGATTTCTAATCTGCTTCCCTTCCCCCCAAAACTTGATTGATTTCAAGTAGATTTTAGGCCAAGACTTATCCCACTTTGCTGATTGCATGGAGGCCGGCATCTCTTGGTAACTGGGGCTGTGGAAGAAGCTGACTTTCCCATCACTGGTCTGTGACTCATCCGTGGTGTGCTGGAGGCCCCAGGAGCTCTGTGGTTGTCAGGAGACCATGCAGCCACATCTGGAATGGTTGGTAGCTTCTCACTGGCCTGATGTCCTTTGTCAAAGATGAGGCCCCAGAATCCACTCCCAGGTATCCCACAGCCCCCACAAAAAGCTCAGACTTCTCCCTCTCAGAACAGGAGACCTGTGCTCTGAGATGGGGACCACAGTGGAGCAGCACCCACTAGAAGGACTCCTGGGTCCCCGAGGCTTGGTTAGAAGTAAATCTTCACCTGCATGCGGAAGAATTCAAGGCAGTGTTTGACTGCAGGCAGGCTGCATGTCTTAGTCCATTTGGGCTGCTATAACAAAATAGCATAAATTGAGTGGTTTCTAAACTACACACATTTATTTCTCACAGTTCTGGAAGCTGGGGATTCCAAGATCAAGTTGCCAGTAGATTGAGTGCCTGGAGAGGGCCCGCTCCATGGTTTGCAGATGACCTTCTTCATGCTGCCTCCTCGCCTCTAGTGGAGGGAGATGTGGAGAGCTGTCTGGGGTCCCTTTTATAAGGACATTAATTCTATTCATGAGGGCTCCACCCTCGTGACCTAATCTCATTCCAAAGGCCCTACTTCCTAATACCATCACCTTGAGGGTGAATATTTCAACATATGAATTTTGGGGGGACATATTTAGATCACAGCAGTGCAAAATTTGGAAAATGTGAAAGAAACCATGAAACCATAGATACTTTAGCTCATGTCACCCTCCTCTTCTGCTCCTGCGACTTTCTCCTATAGAATATTCCGACTTGCAGAGAGAAACAGTGAAATCATTCAAAGGAATTTCTCGGCCCTCCAGCTTTGGGATGCTCCTTAGATCACATGGAATCTGAGACTGAACCATTTATTGGGAGCTTTTCTTTATTCCTTTATTTTTTTTCATTTATTCAGCAGATGTATATGAAATCTTCCTGTAAGCATAAAATGGTGCTTAAATACAAGAGGTGAGAAGGGTGCAGAGTCAATTAAGACGCAGTGTCTGTCCTCAAGGGCCCTGCAGCTCAGAGGGAGAGACAAACGTGTGAACAGGTGCACTGTGAGGCGGAGGGAAGGCTGCACTGCTGAGAGGTACAGTTAGTGGGCTGCGTGATTGCGGAGAAAGGAGTGATGAATTGTGCTCAGGGGAACTGAGGCAGACTGGTGCAGAGACGGCACCAGGGCCGGGCTGGACAGAAATTTGAGTGTTATTAGATGGAACCAGTAAAGGGGGCAAGGCATGGTTTGAACAAGAGCCAGGGGTCAGAGGCTCACAAGTGCCAGGCCTGTCCCAGGGCTGCTGGCCCCCGTTGGTGGGAGTCCAGGGCAGCAAAGGACTTGGCCATGTGAAGATTTGGGTTTCTTGTCTGGTGAGGGCACAGTGCCTCCTTCTTAGGTCTGTCCTGGGGAGTAAATGAGCCAGCCGGGGCAGGAGGTAGGCTGCATACTGGTTGCATAGTAAGCCTTAATCCAAGTTAGCTGTCATTGCTTATGACAAGGTGGCCAACAGTTCCACCTGGCCTTGGAGTGCATACTAGTTTGGAGAGCAAGTGGTGCCGGGTTTCAAAGAACATTAAAAACAGTTCATGGCAAAAGGGGAGATGCAGATGCCCTTAGAAGGGGTGCAGCCACCTTCTCCACATTGCCATTTTGTGGACAGGCAAACAGAGGCTCGTAAAG